CCTTCTCCTCCTCCTCCTCCTCCTCCTCCTCCTCCTCCTCCTCCTCCTCCTCCTCGTCCTCCTCGTCCTCCTCGTGGCTGGGCGAGCGGCGGGCCCGAAGTCGCGATCAGGCCAGGGGCCCTCGATCCCAATCTCGCGCTGGACGGTGGCGAGTATGGCCTGGTAGTCCTCAGCGATGGCCTGCTGTTCAGGCGGCGACTGCCCGATGCTAGCAGGGCCCTGGCTTGCGATCTGGCCTCCAGGAGGCCGGGCTTGTTGAGCCCAATGGCCAGGGTCAGGCTGGGTTCGCGGAGCTTCCAAATAATCTTCTCGGACGAGAAGCACACGTCCTCCCCCCCCTGTACGCCCGGGCAGAGATCCCAGCGAGCGTCGCCCGCGCCTTCGGCACTGGCCGCATGACCGCGCTGCTGAAGGACAACGGCCGCGCGCGAGGGATAGTGGCAGGAGATGCCTTCCGCAGGCTCGTCGCGAAGGCGCTCTCTCGGCAGTTCGGGGCCGAGATGGACGACGCCTGCGCGCCTTGTCCCGTACGCGCTGTCGACGCGAGCTGGTGCAGACAGCGCGGCCCACTTCCTCCGCGCCGCCACTGACGCTGACGACGCCGCAACGATCGTGAGCATCGACGGCATTGGTGCCTTCGACCACGTGCGCCGCGACCGTGTGATCGAGAAGTTCCTGTCTTTACCTGGGGCCTCTGGCTTGGTTCCCTTTGTGTTGCTCTCGTACGGCCAGCCGTCCAGGTACTTGTGGACAGACGACGCAGGAGTTGCGCACGAGGTGGCGCGGGGGGAAGGCGGAGAAAAGGGCGACCCGCTTATGCCAGCGCTGTATTCCTTGGCCCACACGGCGCCCTTGAGATGGCGGGCGCGCGTGGCTGCAACCTGGAAAGGAACTGCTTGCTTACCTCGACGACGTCTACAGCATATGCAGACCAGAGCGCGCCACTGCAGCTTTCTACGACGTCACGAACGCAATGCGGGAGTCGGCGGGCATCGAGGCGAACCTCGGCAAGTACCGCATGTGGAACCGAGGCGGCTTCGAACCAGAAGGGCACCAGGCGCTGGGCACAGACGTGTGGGTCGGTGGCGCCCGGACGCCAGCGAAGCACCGCGGCCTCAAGGTGCTCGGCACGCCCCTGGGTACGCCAGCGTTCGCAGCCAGGCAGACGCAAGAGCGGACAGACGAGGAACGCAGATTCCTTCAAGAGCTCCCACACTTGCCCGACCTTCCAGGTGTGCCTGGGCCCTCCTGCCACGGTGCAACCACGTGCTGCGCACGCTGCCGCCATCCCTGTCGCAGCCTTACGCGGAGGGGCACGACCGCTCGCTCCAGGAAGCGCTGCGCGGCTTCCTCGACCTTGCCCCCACGACGGCGGACGCGGAAAGACTCTTCCGCGTGAGTTCGCTGCCGCTCGGCCCCGGCGGTCTCGGGCTGAGTGCAGCAGCGCGCACGGCTGAGTGTGCCTACTGGGCGTCGTGGGCAGACGCGCTCCCCAGGCTGCGACAAAGAAACCTTCTAGCAGCAGCAGAGCTCACCTCCGCCCTCCGCGCTGGGACAGGCGCCGCGGCCGAGTGTCTCCAGGAGGCCGGGCGCGCTGGGGTCGCAGCCACTCGCGACGGCTTTGCTTGCCCAAACTGGCAAGAGGTCTGGGACGGCGCGCGCCCGCAGCAGACGGAGCCAGAGCCTGGCGAGTGGAAGCACGGATGGCAGTACCACGCGTCAGCAGCACGAGAGCAACAGTTCAGGGAGGATGTTGTGGTACCCAGCCTCGCAGAAGACCAGCAGTGGATGCTTGGCTGCTTGACTCCCAAGGGGGCTACTGCGGCGGGCGACACCTTTCCCTGATCCCGACGACGCCTGAAACTACCTTCACGCCAGAGCGTTTCCGCACGCTGCTCCTCCGACGGCTCCGCCTGCCTCTGGACACCACAGCCAGCAGGTGCAACGGGCGCAGGTGCAACGGGCGCTCCTGCCAAGCCCACATTGACTTGCGCAGCGACCACAGAGCAGCTTGCCCCCGCAGCAGACGGCTGCTCGAACGCGGCGCCCCCATCGAACGGATGTGGGCCAGGGCGGGGGACCACGTCCGCACCAACGTGTTCTTGCGCGACATGAACCTGCCAGGCATCCGGGCCGACGACAGGCGCCGAGTCGAGGTTGTCGCAAATGGCCTCCCGGCCTACCACGGCCGCTAGGTCGCCATCGACGCCTGCATGGTGTCGCCGCTGACGGCCGCTGGCAGGCCTGCCGCGCGCCCGGACTTGTGCTTCAGCGAGCCCGCCGCCACAAGCAGACCACCTACCCCGAACTCGTGGGCCCCAGGCGCAGCTATTTCTTGGTGGCCGGATCAGAAACGGGCGGACGCTGGGACGAGGAAGCGTACAAGTTCCTCGTGGTCTCGGCGCGGGCCCGGGCCAGGGGCGCGCCAGATGCGCTTCGAGGGTCGCTGACAAGGGCGCTTCTGCACAGGTGGACTGGCATGCTGCCCTTTGCCATCCACGATGCCTTGCGGCTAGCCTACTAAAAACGTGTCCAGCGAAACGCTAGCTAGCCACGGACGAAGCAGCACCCTGACGGGAAAACCTCTTATCGGCGCTCCCCTAAGGACGCGGGCCCCCGCGAGAGCGACAACGGGGGCGGACTACCAGCAACACCAGCACCACCACCACCACTACGACGGCTACCAGCACGAGAGCCACCAGCAGCACGGCGACGACCAGCAGCAGCAGCAGAACCACCACGATGGCGACCAGCACCACTACTACCACTACGACTACGACGGCGACACCCAGCACCACCACTACCACGACCACCAGAAAAAGACACCTGCACCAACACTGCGACGTTGACCAGCACATGCGCCACCAGCAGCACGACGCCGGCTGCGACCCCCACCGATGGCAACGCAGCGACGACAAGCAACAGCAGTAGTAGCAGCAGCCGCAGCAGCAGCAGCAGCAGCAGCAGCAGCAGCAGCAGCAGCAGCATCAGCAGCAGCAGCAGCAGCAGCAGCACCATCACCACACACACCACCACCACCACCACCACCACCACCACCACCACCACCACCACCACCACCACCACCACCACCACCACGACAGCGACCAGCAACAACGCCACCAGCACAACCACCACAACGGCGAAAAGCAGCGCGAAGACAGTGGCCAGCAGCAGCACCACCACAGCCAGCGCGACGACGACAGCCCGCAGCACCGACGCCCAAGCCCGCACCAGCACTATCACAACACGGAGCAGCGACGCAGCCACTACCAAGAGCACCAGCGCCACGACAGCGACCTGCAACACTACCGGCTGCGCAGCCGAAGCCACGACGACCAGCAGCACCACCAAGACCAGGGCAACCAGCAAGGCAACCCCAAGCCCCCGCCGCAGCAGCGCCGAGGCGGAGAGGGAGAAGGCGCGGCCGAGGAGGCAGAGGAGGAGGCAGCGCGCGCCAGGAGGACGAGGCAGCTGGTATAAGCATATATGAGCGCATTCCCCTTACGACTCGGGGGAGCACCCAGTTGTAGGATTCTGCTGTTCTCGCAGCGGCACTCGCCTTCGCAAGGACAGTCGCAGCGGAAGCGGCCGCAGGACCCAATGGAATCCTAAAAACCCTTAGGGATTCCTGAGACATCCTCGGGCACCCTTACGACCCAATTGGACTCCTTACAAAACCTTGGGGCTCCGTCGGAATCCCGATTCCTATGGATCCCTAAGGGTCCCTACGGATCCCTATGGAATCCTATAGTTTCCCATGGACCCCGACGGATTCCGAAAGATTTGACAGCCTCGGCCTCAGCCGCAGCCTGCCACAGCCTCAGCCTGTCTCAGCCTCAGCCTCAGCCTCTTCCTCAGCCTCCTGTCTCAGCCTCACCCTCAGCCTCAGCCTCAGCCTCAGCCTCAGCCTCAGCCTCAGCCTCAGCCTCAGCCTGCCTCAGCCTGCCTCGGCCTCAGCCTCAGCCCGCCTCGGCCTCAGCCTCAGCCGCAGCCGGCCTCAGCCTCAGCCTCCTGCCTCAGCCTCAGCCTGTTGTAGCCTCAGCCTCAACCTCAGCCTCAGCCGCAGCCTCAGCCGCACCCTCAGCCACAGCGTCAGCCTCAGCCTGCCTCAGCCTCAGCCTCAGCCACAGCCGGCCTCGGCTTACCTCAGCCTGCCTCGGCCTCAACCTCAGCCTCAGCCTGCCTCAGCCTCAGCGCCAGCCTCTCAGCCTCAGCCTGCCTCAACGTCAGCTTCAGCCTCAGCCTCAGCCTCGGCCGCAGCCTGCCTCAACCTCAGCCTCAGCCTGCGCCAGCTTCCGCCTGCCTTAGCCTCAACCGCAGCCTGCCTCAGCCTCAGCCTGCCTCAGCCTCAGCCTCGGCCGCAGCCTCAGCCTCAGCCTCATCCTCAGCCTCAGCCTCGGTCAGCCTGAGCCTCAACCTCAGCCGCAGCCGGAGCCTGCCTAAACCTCAGCCTCAGCCTCCGCCTGCCTCGGCTTGCCTTGCCTCCGCCTCCGCCTCCGCCTCCGCCTCCGCCTCCGCCGCCGCCTCCGCCTCCACCCCCGCCTCCGCCTCCACCTCCGCCTCCGTCTCCGCCTCCGCCTCCGCCTCAGCTCCAGCCTCAGCCTCCGCCTCAGCCTCAGCCTCAGCCTCAGCCTCAGCCTCAGCCTCAGCCTCAGCCTCAGCCTCAGCCTCACTCCCACCTCCCAGCCTCCGCCTCAGCCTCGCCTCCCCCTCACCGCATCGCCTCAGCCTACCCAGCCCAGCCTCAGCTCAGCCGCAGCTCAGCCTTGCAGCGGCCTTAGCGTCAGCCTTTTTTTTTTTTTTTTTTTTTCCCCCCCTTAGCTCGTGCATTTTTCTTGCGATTGCGCCTTTCCCGCAGCCTCAGCCCCAGCTTCCAGCCTGCAGCCCTCAGCCTCCAGCCTCAGGGGGGGGGGGGCCATGAGCCTCAGCTCCAGACCCGCACCAGCCTCCCAGCCTCAGCCTCAGCCTCAGCCTGGCCTCCAGCCCTTTCCAGCCCTCCCCCTCCCCAACCCCCACCCCACAGCCTCAGCCTCAGCCTCAGCCTCAGCCTCAGCCTCAGCCTCAGCCTCAGCCTCAGCCTCAGCCTCAGCCTCAGCCTCAGTCTCAGTTTGCCTCAGCCGCAGCCTGCCTCAGTCTCCTGAGCCTGCCTGGGCATCAGCGCCAGCCTGCCTCAGCCGCAGCCGCAGCCGCAGCCGCAGCCGCAGCCGCAGCCGCAGCCGCAGCGGCAACCGCATCCGCATCCGCATCCGCAGCCGCAGCCTCAGCCTCAGCCTCAGCCTCAGCCTCAGCCTCAGCCTCAGCCTCAGTCTCAGCCTCAGCCGCAGCCTCAGCCTCAGCCTCAGCCTCAGCCTCAGCCTCAGCCTCTCACTCTCACTCTCAGCCTCCGCCTCAGCCGCAGCTTGCCTCAGCATGCCTCAGCTCCAGCCTCAGCCTCAGCCTCAGCCTCAGCCTCAGCCTCAGCCTCAGCCTCCGTCTCCGCCTCCGCTTCCGCCTCAGCTCCAGCCTCAGCCTCAGCCTCAGCCTCAGCCTCCGCCTCCTGCCTCAGCCTCAGCCGCAGCCTCAGCCGCGGCCTCAGCCTCGGCCTCAGCCTCGGCCTCAGCCTCGGCCTCAGCCTGCCACAGCCGCAGCCCACCTCAGCCTCAACTACAGCCTGCCTCGGCCTCAGCCTGCGTCAGCCTCAGCCTCAGCCTCAGCCTCAGCCTCAGCCTCAGCCTCAGCCTCAGCCTCAGCCTCAGCCTCAGCCTCACCCTCAACCTGCTTCAGCCTCAGCCTCAGCATCAGCCTGCCTTGGCGTGCCTCAGCCTGAGCCTCCTCCCGCCTCGGCCTCAGCCTCAGCCTGCCCCACTTCCGGGCAGCCCGAATATAACACAGGACTGGCGTTCGGGGAAACGCAAATCACGAAGTGACCCACCATCGGCCCCGAGCAGAATATGGTACAGGACTGGCGTTCGGGGGACACGAAGAACACGAAGTCGCCTACAGTTAGCTCCGGGCATCCACGATGATGCCTGGGAGTGTCGTTCTGGACACACGGCCAGGGCGAAGTGGCATACAGCTGGCTCCAGGTATTGAAAATATGGCCTGGGTGCGGTGTTCTGGGAAAGCGAAGAACACGAAGTCGCCTACAGTTGGTCCCGGGCATACAAAAGACGGCCTGGGAAGAATGTTTCGGGAAGACGACAAACACGAAGTGGCCTACAGTTGGCCCCGTGCATTCAAAATGTGGTCTGGGAGTGGTGTTCCGGACGCGCGAAGAACACGAAGTGACCTACACCGGGCTCCAACCATGCCAGAAAGTGGCCTGGGAATCGTGTTCTGGGTCTGGACCCCCAAGGATTCCTAAAAAATCTTAGGGGTTTTAAGGGAACCCTGGGGCTGCCAGATCTGCCCGGTTTTGTCCGGACCCCACCCCACTCCCCCAAAAAATGCTCCCTGCGATTCGCCCTCTGCCAGATGTTTCGCCTGCCCGCCCGCCCTGGTCCAAGGTCTGGCAGTCAATGCACGCCCCTAGAACGCCGCAGGGGCCAGCCATCGTTTGCGCCGCGATTTACCCGGCGCCAGAGCGCGACGTGGACACGGGGAGCGCGGCCCTGGATGCTCTTGCAACTCTTGCGAAAAGCTCCGCCGCCGCGCGCCGCTTGCCACCTTTTCTGGTCGCTGGGGGCGCCAACATCCACTCATCGTACGTGTTGTCACACTGTCCGGGGTGCAACTGCAGGCCTTTTGCGACGGTCCGGCGCAGATCCGCACCATCGACGCGATGCTGCCTGCGGCTGGCCTTGTTGCGTGCAAACCGCCCGAGGCCACACACAACTCGCGCACGTGCATTGACCTTGTCCGCGCGGGCCCGGGCCAAGCAGTGTCGCTGTAAACGACGCTGTGGCGAGGGCTTATAATCATCGCCGGCTGCGTTTGTTGACGCAGTGCCCCTGTGATCTTGGGCTGTTGGTTTTGGCAGGGTCAGTTGGCGCACACAAGAACTCCCCGCGGGACGACGCTCTCGCACGATTGAGTCGCTTCCCCAATTTGCGGCGAGGACCGGGACGGAGAAGCCGCCGCACTCTGCCGCCAGCTATACGTCTTCACGACAAGCACACACTGCCCCTCGCGAGTCTCCGGAAATAGTGGCTTGAAGGTGCAGTCGGCGTTAGGGCCCCGGCCGAGAAGAGGCGGGCGAGTTTCAAGAAGGGGCAGGACAGACGCCCCACCGCAGTGTACTTGACACACACCTTGACGCTGCGTCTCGGACACCAATGCCTGGACAGCCCCCAGACGGAAAAGGCGCCGGCCACGCGGGCACCCTGCGACGGACGGCTGGTCACCCAGAGCCCTGCGCAGGAAGCATCTCGCCTGCGGCCACAGAGCCAGTCAGGCGGCTGCCAGACGCGACGCCTCCCTCACGACACCCTTCCGCAGCAGCTCCCCCCGCGGCGCCACTGTGCAGTGCACAGGCGGCGTCCTCCGCCGCATCGAGCAGCACTGCCCGAGAGAACGGCGGTATTATCATGCTACCGCCACTGCCTG